AATTTATTTGACATACTCTTGGATCCTTGTATTTACATGTTCTTGAAACCTATTTGTTGAAGTTGTGACATACCTGTTACATTAGTGATTTATGTTCTTTTTCTTCAAATTATTAAACAAACCTTTTAACTGCTTAACCATACCTGGAAACCAATTTTACAAACTTCACTTATTAAAATATGATTAAATACAATTATTTCAGTACAGTAAGCAATTAGAAACAACACACAGCTATAGACAATGGGTGATGTAATGGTTAAAAACTATGTAAACCATGTACATATATAAAAATGCAGCACTTACTTAAGTTGAAGGTTAAGAGAATGCTTTTAGTAGCAGGAAAAGTATCGTTAGATTGAGTTTTCTGCGATGATTATCTTCTCTATAGAAAACAGTATCAGATGAAAGTTCAAAAAATGTAAGGTCATGTTATATTTGCTGAGAATAAAAGCAGTATTAGTGAAACGGATGTCAAAATTTAATGACCTACAATACATTTTACTGAATTAACAAAACTCAGAATACTCGCATTGTTAACCAAATACATATAAGCTTTGTCGTGCAAAACAAATTTTATGCATCTGTTTATATAAATAAGAGTTAACAGCTCCTTGTCCACATTATCTTTCCAATAATACCGAATTATCAAAAAATTAGAACCAAACAGATTGTTTATTAATGACCTGCTCTATATACATATGTATTACTTTGCAACCACCAGAGAACACTATTTGACAACGAAAGAAAATGAAATGCCTCATCATTGAGAAAAATTGATAGCATGAATGTTCTTGATCCTTAATAAAAAAGAAAGGTACTCATTTTCAAAAAGGTAACTGAATCATATACTTTCAGTAGTTACATGATTGATTAACTTAAGTAAAATATGGTTGAATTCATAATTAAGCTTTAATTAGTCACTCAAGCTTTTAAACTGGTGTAAAAGCTTCAAGCAATCTGAAATACTTTCCTTTTCAAACCTTTTTCGTCTCTATACATTGATCTAAACAAAACTTTAATTAAGCATTCAAGCTTTTAAACCTCTGTAAAACCCTTAAGTAATGTTAAATCCTTTGCTTTTGAAAGCTTTTTGGTTTCTGGACATTGATTTAAACCAATAACGAAAACAACTCTAAAAAATAATTGGAAAACAAATTGAGTCTTTTTTTTAAGAACGATTAGAATGTACCAATTTTGTAGCAAAAAATTATACACACGGTAAACCAATTTGTTACAGCCAGCATAAACACAACAGAGAACCAAATTGCCACAGTTTTTTTCAGGGTTCCTTTCAAACAAATACAAACTGAGAATCGAAAATTACACGTAGTTGTTGTAAAACATACCCAAGCTCAATATAATTTTCTTTGTCAATAATCTGAAGAGGCAGCATGCGATTAGTCACCAATTTCACAAAAACTTTGTCCCAACCTGCAGATCCGCAGAAAAAACAAAAACAAAGACCTTAAATTTCTTGGCCTAGAGATAGCAAAATGAGGATAAAACACGAAGAACAAACTAACCTTAAAGTTCTTCCCCGACGATCGCAAGATGAGAAGAAAACGCCCAACAACAAAGCATTCAATAACGGGAGAGACTGGAAACTAAATCCAAAAAAACAAAAATCAAACGCTGGACCTCTACTAAGACAATTTTGCGAAAGAAAAAGAAAGGATTTGAGACCAAAAGACGGGCTGACGAAGTGGTAGAAAATCGCAGACTCACATGGACGGAGGGAGGTAAGGCCCAGTGGGGGCACATGCCCCCCCTCTCATCCCTGTTTTTTTCATTACAAATTATTCAATTAATCATCCCCATTTTTTTGCTTTACAAATTATTCAATTAATCATATTAAAATAGTGAAAATCCTCTTTTAGTTTTTAAATGCCCCTCCGTCTTGTATATTTTTCTCACGTACTAATGTCTAAACTTTGTTGAGTTGCATGTATTTAGTTAATTAGTACAAATGAGCATTAGATTGTAAACAATTCAAGACAAAATTAGACAATAGAGTAATAAAATTAGGCATTTTGTAATTAATTTTTTCAGCATTTGTAAAAGAACTAGCTTTATTTGTCCAAAAAAAGAGCTCAAATTTTTTAAGGTGCCCCCTCTTAGTTAAATTTTTTGCTTCGTCCCAGACTCATGAAATTGAAAACGAAGAAGAAGGGTAAAGCAAAAAAGATGCTGCCCAAGCAGAGAAACAAACGATGAAAGACGCGTGGCTAGGAAGGGCATAACCAACTTTTCATTGTAGAAACGTGGAAACAGTATGCGGAGAAAAGAAGAACCCGATGGTAGTTTCACCCTTTCACTGTTGATGAAACAGTGTCGGAAGACTGAATTTTAGTATGTATAATAATATGGGTCGGGTGGACTTTCTTAGAAATTGGAGGTAGATTGTCTGCCCTCATGTTATCCTATCATTCTCATTCTCTTTTATTTGTGCAGTTACGGTTAAATCACATTAACATTTTATATTCCTATTGCTTTTTATGTTATTATCTTTATTAAACAATCAATATAAAATGTTGACGTGGCTTAACCGTGACCGCACAAATAAGAGGATATGGAAATGGCACAGTAACAAGAGGGCAGACAAGCTTCCTTAGAAAGTCCAGTCTTTTTGTTTTTTGTTTTTTAATAAAAAATGATGAGACTATCAGCCTCCCACGTGACCTAGGTGGTGTTGTCATACAACACATCAATGCTCGTCGTTTTACTTAAAAACCCACATGGTCTAGATAGCACGTGACTTAGGATATTTTTTTATTTAAACTTAAACACAAATAGTACCTGACGAAAACTGACCGTACGATGTACGATAAGCAGTTAGGATGTCAGGATATCTAGGATCCCACAAAGTGAATCCGGAGAAGATCTTCTTTCGAAGCAGACAACGGACGGTAGAGGACGCATCTGAAGCATTTTGTCAAACACATTGAAAGCATAATCAAGATTAGTAAATAGTAACTATCACAAGATGGTATGGTTGGGTGTTTCAACATTTGGTTGGTATGGAAGGTCGAGTGAGTCATAACCAACGTTCAAGGATTGCATTTTTTACCATTGGAAATAGTATTTCTGATGAACAATGAAGTGAAAAGCGCCGTGCTCAAGTAAAAAGCAATGGCTAATATCATCGCAACCATTGCAGTCGCCGTGGTATGAAGTGATGCTGGAAATTCTTGATAGCAAAACTGAAGTTCCCCCGGGAAATGAAATGCTTCACCGATGCCCGCCAAAACCAACTGTGGGAATAACCACATGACCAACATTGGCACCATGGAACCATGAGCTGTTTTGAGACGCTTTGACTCAACCAATGCGGAAACAGCCATGCTTGTGATATTTAGGACATGACCAATTCCTAGTCTTTGGAGGGGAGTTTGAGATTTATGGGTCAGTTTCTGCCAGACGGGATATAGGATACGATCAATTATTGGGAGAGCAATGCAAGTGGCGATTGTAACCACGACTATGACAGATCCAACCGGGACTTTGAAATGTGATCCAATGTGACGGTCCATCTTTAGAGCTTGCAGGACCGTTAAGCTTATTTGAATCGCTAATGGGGTACTTATAAATATGTTGGATGCCCACAAGGGGAAAATTTTAATGACAGTTTTGAGATCTTCTACTTGCTGGACTGTGCACAACCTCCATGGCCTGGCAATGGAGCCGTCGGGCTTCGAGTCCCCTTATGTTTCCAGGGCTGCACTGTTCAGGAATCTGCAACAAGAGAGCAAAAGGAAAATTTCTTATCATCATTATTTCCTTCAATGTGTATGGCACTGTGTATCCTTCCGTACTCAACAACATGATGATTACAGATCAAAAACATCGGGGAAAAGCTCATTTGAATTATACGCACCATGTCAAAAAACAAGAGGCGTGCAATAAAGAAGACACTAAGACCTGTGGAAATTCCGGTACCTGAAACTCTTTTAGGTGTTGCGGGAGTTGTTTTTACCTCTCCATCATTGTGGTAGTGGTAATCCTCCCTTGGGGATGTGAGCTTAATATTCCATTTCCGGATACTAGCAACAACAACACGAGCTATATTCACGAATGGGCTACCTTGTGGCTTATCACGACGATATAAATGGATTCCAGATGAGAATATGACCAGACCAATCAAATTAACAAGAGCAAATAGGCCAAATCCCAACCCCCAACTGACATTATCCTCAATATACACAACGACAGTAGAACTTACAACAGTCGCCGTATACATGGCAAAGAAAAACCAGTTAAAGAAAATCCCTTGATTTTTAGGCTTGTCAAATTGGTTTGCTCCCATTGTTGCTATAGTAAAGCGAGTGCCTCCTAGTCCAATTGATCTCAGTGTTATACTAGCATATAGCACTGCAAACTGAACTTTTGATGGTGTTTCGCACAAGCTAGATCCATTCTCACATGAAGGGGGCCTCAAGGAATCAATAGTTGCAGTCAAAGTGAATAAGACCAATCCCTGCGAAGAATAAATTGTAATGAATTTAAAAATGAGACTAGACGTGTATTGAAGATTTTCAGAGAACAAGTTGGTTCAACAGGAAAATTGAAAAATGCGACGATATGTATTGCCCGCAGGTACCCGATGTACAACTCAAATTCCAAATACGAGAAGAAAATATGGAAACCTTCCTACCGTGTCTCTAGCACCAACTATTTAAGGATTCAGATGTTTCAGATGCTTCAGATGCTTCATTGTAGGCTAATACTGTTCCATTAAGCAGAGAATTGAAAGTGTATTATCCTATAAAACTCAACTTTACGTTGCAAATTGGAAGTGTATTAATCCTACATCAACAATTAACAGAACTATTATGGTTATGTGAGTGTGTGTGCTTGTTAGAGTGGTGACAGAGCGAGGCTATTACCAAAAAAGAGACACAAAACGAGATCAGGATGACCGGGAAACAGCCAAATAAGGAGTCTGCAACAATTGCTCCAATGATAGGAAATAAACTAGTGCAACCACTCACAACATTTCCCACCTGAGTAGCATCAATGCTCTTCACGTTAAACTCCTCAATCAGATACACAACCAGATTTGCTTGCCATCCTCCAGCAGCAAGTGTCAAGCACATTAAAGTTCCTGCTCAAAATAAAATAAGATCACATGGTTTGCTAAGAAAGAAGTTTTCTTTTTCACTTCCTTGTAGTCATAAGTGAATAACAGAAGTGCATGAAAGAGGGAGGGGGTGAGAGGGGGAGAAAGAGAGAGAGATACCTATCATGAATAAAAAGATGATCCAACCACCGCATTTACCACCATCATCCACCATTTGTCCTTCTCTGTCCACAGAGAGTGATGCATCCATCTTACAACCCAGCTGATGCAACTCTGTCAGCGTGGTTTCCTTTTTTTGACATGCATGTTCACAAGCTCCCATCGTTATATAAACGTGTAAACAAGATGGTGCAGTCTTGTACATGCCACACTAAGGGCTGGTTTGGTATTGTTGTACTTTGAAAAAAAACTGCTGTGAGAATAAGCGGCTGTGAAATAAATCAACAGAGTGTTTAGTAAACTTTTTTGTAAAAGTGCTTTTGAAAAAAAAAAAACAGTTTGATAGTGGGTCTTTTCATTAAAAAAGCACTGTAGCTCCGTATGCTTTGAAAAAAAGCCAATTTTCTAAAGCTGGAAATAGCTGCTTCAGCTTTTCCTTTGGATTTAAAGTTATTCTCAAAGCAGCTTCCAAAATAAGCCATTTTTTTTAGTTTACCAAACACCTAAAACCCTCACAGCTTTTTTCATGGGTGCTTTTTTTTTAAGCACCTTACTTCCAAACCACCCCTAACTGTGGTCTAGCATCGTTATGTTATTATCAAGGGACCCAACTAAGCACGCTTGCTATCATTAAGCACCAAATTTCAACCTTAAAATCGTTATAGTACGGTAGATAAATCCACCCACAATCTTCGTAGTCCTGTAGATGCCGCACTAACAATGGTCCAGCATCCCCTATGTTATTATCAAAGAACCCAACTAAGCAAGCTTCCTATCATTAAGCACTAACTTTCAACTTTTCAATAGTTGTAGCACTGTAGATAAATCCAGCCGCAATAATTGAGTTGCCTCAACTTTCGACTAGTTAAGTTTTCGAACACCAAATCAGCCTTCAAGAAGACCTATTTGAAGGAAACCTCAAGCAAGGGTTTTACCTCAAGTAAGCAAGTTCATGTTACTAGGAGCAGTTATGTGAATCTCTATCACACCGTAATTTTGGCACTCATTTTCAACCTCCTGCACTCCTATGTGAGTAGAAAGAATGTAAAATATACAGTTTAGAGTGCATATGGTTAAAAAATGAAAATCGTAACTCTATGACAACGACATCCAACAATAAAGAATTGGCTTATTATTGTTGGCTAACATACTTGCCATAGTCGGTATACCAATAAGGAGGCAGATTGTCTGCCCTCCTGATTAGGTGCCATTCCTATCCCCTCCTATTGGAATAAGTTAATATTTAGTAGAAAAGGGAATGTAAATATTTTGTAATTACTAGAGTCGAATTTTAGGAAAGGTATTATGTCCTCTATTTGTTGCCTTTCTTGTAACTAAGGTTGTACATACCTTTTTATTGAGATTGGAATACACAGAAATTATTCCATAAAATTCTATTTGGCACCAAAGCCAAGAGTAACCCTAGAACTTCCACCGTGCTGCTGCCATCGTGAAACCAGGAAAAAAATCCAGCCAAGTCTGGATAATGCCGCTGCATCCCTGTAGCAAGTTTGACTATTGGTCGCTGCAATCGTGGTGACTATTTGCTGCGTGCGTGTGTGTATTGTAAGGTTGTAATTAATGGCAGGTAACAAAGGTGAGACGGGTTTGAAGTTAGAGGGTGAGGCGTCTGGCACCACCCATGGGTCAGTCGTCAATCTGGTGGTTATTCAAAGTGATGCTTCGGCCGTACCAAGTACTGTAAAGCTAAATGGATCAAACTATCATTTGTGGTCCAAGGTATTGGAGATGCATATCGCGGGACGTGGTAAGAAAGGGTTTGTGATAGGAAGCATCAAAGAGCCCAAAGAGGACAGTGCTGAGTATGAAGCTTGGGAGACCGAGAATGCAATTGTAAAATGGTGGTTGATTAATTCCATGGATCCTACCATTATGGGATTTTTCATTCATCTTCGTACTGCTAAAAAAGTCTGGGAAGAAGTTGCTCGAACATATTATGATGGGTCTGATATTTCTCAGATTTATAAGTTGAAGGTGAAGTCATTCCAACTTCACCAGGAAGGAAGACCTATCGGTGTATATTATGCCGATCTCAAAGCAGTTTGGCAAGAATTGGATCAGAGAAGACCAATCAAGATGGAGTGTGTAGTTGACTTGAAGACACTCCGAGAAGAAATTTAACTGGACCGTGTGTATGCTTTCCTAGCAGGGCTTGATGATATTTTTTACAAAGTGTGTAGTGATATTTTGAGAACTCAACCTTTACCATCTGTAAATGAGGTGTTCTCTGTTGTTAGGCGAGAAGCCCAACGCCATGCAACTATGATGGGAAGTAGTGGTGTGGGGAACCAAGGAGGAGCTCATCCCATAGCCATGGTATCACGGCTACCATCAGGTAACCGAGGGTTTAACCCATCTCCAATGGCCAATTCTCAGCCATTCACTCGAGAAAACAAGGATGATCTGAAGTGCACCTTTTGTGGTCAAACCCGTCATACAGAGGATACATGTTTTCAGAAACATGAGGTACCCGAATGGTTTCCCGAATTGAAGAAAAAATTACGTGCCAAGAAGCGAGCTGCTAATGGAGCAAGTCGAAGCCGTGGATCCAGTGCCATTGCCATCAAGGATGTCGTGCCCTCCTCAAGTGACCCGAGTCACAGCTTGTTGACCAAGACCACTCATAGTGAAACCCATGACACTTCAGGTAGTATGGGGCGTGTTCTTTTAGCCTCTGATATGGAGCATCATCCAGGTTGTATTCTAGACTCGGGTGCAACTTATCATATGACTTTTGATAAGAATTTATTTACTAGTATGACAGCAAGTCCACGGGAGTGTATAGCAACGGCTAACGGAACAATAGCACCAGTTTTAGGGGCCGGCACAATACAACTCACACCGGCCCTTCCCCTCAATCACTGCCTGCTTGTTCCCTCGTTGTCTCATAATTTGTTATCTATTCCTCAAGTTACTGAGCAATTAGATTGTGTTGTACTTATGTATCCAATGTTTTGTTTGGTTCAGGATATTCAGACCAAGGAGATAATTGGGCGTGGCACTAAGAGAGAGGGATTATATTATGTGGATGACGTCGTTCCTGGCAGAGCTAATATGGTTCGAGCATCCCGTACTAATAATTTACAAGAAGTTTGGTTATTGCATCGTCGGTTAGGACATGCTTCCTTTGGTTATTTAAGGCGTATGTTGCCTAGTTTATTTTATGAAATAAAAGAATCAGACTTACATTGTGAAGTATGTATTCTCGCGAAGAGTCATCGCGTTTCATTTCCTCCTAGTATGAATAAAAGATTATTTCCTTTTGATCTTGTGCATTCAGATGTTTGGGGTCCCTCTCCTGTTAGTACTATATCTGGAGTTAAATGGTTTGTTACCTTTGTGGATGATTGTACTCGTATGACGTGGATTTATGTGATGAAAAACAAAAGTGATGTGAGTATGGTGTTTCGGTCCTTTTCTCAAATGGTAGCTACACAATATTCCTCTGTTATTAAAGTTCTTCGCTCAGATAATGGATGAGAGTATATTGGTTCCGAGTTGTCCGGTTTTATTCAGGATCAAGGAATCTTACATGAGACCACTTGTCCTCATACCCCACAACAAAATGGGTTGCTGAGAGAAATAACCCCCATATCCTGGAAACTGCCCATGCTTTGCTCATTGGTGCGTCAGTTCCTAAACGGTTCTGGCCTGAAGCTGTCACCTATGCAGTGTATGTCATTAATCGTATGCCTTCCCGGGTTGTGGACTTTAGAACACCTCTTCAAGTGTTGATAGATTTTGTACCCATTGTATCGAGTCATCATCTTCCTCCTCGTGTATTCAGGTGTGTAGTTTATGTTCCTATTCACAAGGTTCATCGGAGTAAGCTAGATCCGTGTGCTTACCGATGTGTTTTTCTGGGTTTTTCTCCTCAACAAAAATGGTATAAGTGCTATCACCCCGAAACTCGCCATATGTATGTGACCATGGATGTTACTTTTTCTGAGTCCGAGTTCTTTTATGCTTCGGTTCCACCACTTTTCGATCACCAGGGGGAGACTACTTGTGGTGATCTTAGATGGTTGGAAATATGTAGCGTAGGGGGAGAAATTGGTGATACAAATGTTAGTGAAGAGGTGTCACGGCAAGACCTTGCCGTGCATGCCGTGAATGGGGATACCGTGAGTGGAGCTAGTGGATCTCCACAGGATGCCGAGTGTAATGCAGGAGGGGGAGCTGCTGCCGAGTGTGATATTGCCGAACCTGTTACACCTCTTCAGCAGCAAGGAACTACCAAACCCACTACCCCTTCTCTCTCGAGCTCGATAGTGCCACCCAATGTGTCTTCTTTGAATATTCATGAGGTAAGTACTACTAATGCTCATGTAACTAATCAAGATAATATTATGAGTACATATTAGTTGCCGCCAAGGCAAAATCGTGGTGTTCCTCCTAACAGGTTTTCTCCTAAAGGGAAAGTGAAGTATCCAATAGCTAACTATGTGTCATGCTCGAACCTTGCACCGGAACGTCAAGCCTGGGTAAATAATGTGGAAGCACTCCAAGCACTAACTCGAGTGGAGGAGGCCTTGAAGGTCCTAAATTGGCTGCTGCAATGGATGAGGAAATGATGGCACTACATAAAAATGGTACATGGGAAATAATGGAGCTACCCAAAGGAAAGAAGCCGGTTGGGTGTAGATGGGTCTTTACAATTAAATACAAGGCAGACAGATCGGTAGATAGATATAAAGCAAGGTTAGTAGCAAAGGGGTATACTCAAACTTATGGTATTGACTATCAGGAAACTTTTTCTCTGGTAGCGAAGATGAATACGGTACGTGTTCTGATTTATTTAGCTGCAAACTTGAATTGGCCACTGAAACAATTTGATGTAAAGAATGCCTTTCTTCATGGGCACTTAGAAGAAGAGGTATATATGGATTTTCCTCCGGGGTACAATGCCGGAGGAAAAACCGTAGTATGTAGATTGTGAAAGTCACTCTATGGACTTAAGCAATCACCTCGTGCATGGTTTGGGAGATTTACTCAGGTTATGAGGAGGTTTGGGTATTATCAAAGTCATTCGGATCATACATTATTTGTGAAATGGGGAAGTGGTAAAGTGACTGCCTTAATAATTTATGTAGATGACATGATAATAACCGGTGATGATTCAGAAGAGATGATGAAGCTTGAACAAAACCTTGCTGCCGAGTTTGAGATGAAGAATTTGGGAGATTT